AATTAGCATTTTTCTTTGAGGCTTTGCTTACAGTTATTTTCACATTGTTGTCTTCTAAGTTTATGACTTAGTCTTCCCTGCCACCACCGTAGCTTTTTATGGCCAAGCTCTTTGTTGTTGTTGTTTGCTCATTTTCCCAACCTATTTCTTCACTCTGAACTTTATGTTAAAGTTGACTCTGCTCATCTGAGGGGTACTCTGTGCCAAGCTTCAGGCTTTTTCATGTTACTGTTTTCAGAGTTAGTTCTGGGGGGACCACAAGTTTTTGGTGCTTCCAAAGTGGTCTTATCCTGGGATAGGTGTGGTCACTGCTCTCCTGGTCTGAGCTCTGGTCCTTCCCCAGGAAGGGCCCCTGCTCCCTTGCAGTCACTAGTACTAGTGCTCCTCTCTACCCTGGAACTTTATTTCAGAACTGCTTATGGGCAACAGAGTTGATAATCAGCACCGGCTGCGCTCAGTGCCAACAAAGGGTCCCCTGTAATCTCTTTTTGACTAGTTGTCTGACTCCCTTACAATTTCTTGGCTGAGAGCTCCCAACGCTATTGCTGCTGCTGCTTTTGTGTGCACCTCCAAGGCCTAGCACTGGTGCTCCTACCATGCTCTGGGCCTGCCCCACCCCCCACCCCTTTGTGCTACAGACCTCTCCTGTGGATCTCCTAAGTTAGGTTGAGAAAAGTCTCTCTCTGACATCTTTTTTTTTTTTGGCTCTGCTCCTTCAATATTTGATTTGATGGTTTCTTTTAAAGTTGTATGGGAGGGAATGTTGAGAATTCAGCTTAGTCTCTGCCTGTACTTCACCATCTTGGCTCTTCCAGAAGCTGATTCCCAAGAGCTGAATTTTTTTAAAAAGTAAAATGGAGTTGATGTTGAACTCATAAACCAACAGAAGGATGATTTGAGCCATAGAGTATAACCATCCATTTCTGTGCCTCTGGGGCTTCTCCTCAGTTAATGGTAGTTCTACTGTCCTATAAAAGCCCATAAAAAATGCCTCTTGGTTCCTAATGTGCTCCCAGCTCACTGACATGAAACACCCACTTTTCATGGTCATCTGGTCATGGAGCTGAAACATCTGCGATGACATTTTTCAAACAGGAGTCAGAGAAGCCGGTCTTGTTAACTTCTCAAGATGGTCTTCAATAATGTTATCACCACATTGATCAGTATGAAGTTAACTTTCCCCTTCACATGGAACTTCTTCATGACTTACACATACAGGCCTTCAGTGCAGTCATGATGAAGGAAGAAAATGGCTCATGTACTCTTTGCTTCCTGTTTTTCTTGGGTATCAGGGTGCTGCTTATAGCCTGGGATGTAGAATAGTAGAGTGGAAAGGACTGTGAATTGGGAGTGAGAAGACATGAGTTCCAGTCCGAACCCTGTCACTTACTACTTTTATGACTTTGAACAAGTCACTTAACAACCTCTCTGAACCTCAGTTTTACCATCTGTAAAATGAAGAGGGTCATTTGGATAACTGCTACAGTCACTTCTGGCCTCTAAGTCTGTGATCCTCATACACAACTGCAGATTGCACTGGTGTTTTGGGAGAAGAGATATTTCCTTTTATGGAACCCATCCAATATTTTTTTTTTGTTGTTGTTGAGTCATTTTTCAGTTGTATCCAACTTTTTCTGACTCTATTTGTCGTTTTCTTGGCAAAGATACTAAAGTAGTTTACCATCTCCTTCTCCAGCTCATTTTACAGATGAAGAAACTGAGACAAACGGGGTTAAGTGACTTGCCCAGGGTCACATAGCTACTAAGTGTCTGAGGCTGGATTTGAACTCAAGAAGAGGAGTATTTCTGAGTTTAGGCTTGCTGCCCTATCCATTCACTACCTAGCTGCCCCTCAATATAGTGTCCCAAAAGTCTTAGTGCAGTTTTAAGCTATGAAAACTTAAAGCTGCATTAAGTTTTTTAGGTCACCCTGTAAAAACTAAATGATAACTAATCCTTTCTGCAAAGGAAAGAATTTATATTTATTATCCAATGTCCAGAGAAAACTTTTTTCCATGGAACTTTTCCTTTATATACTATTTGAAGTACAGTTTTTAATATATACACACTCAATCTCACACACACTCATACTCCCACTCATACATATAGTCACACTCACACACACTCACATACTCTCACACACAAATGCTCTCCTACTCTCTCTCTCTGTCTCTCTCTCTGTCTCTCCCTCTGTCTCTCTCTTTCTCTCTCTCTCTGTCTGTCTCTCTCTGTCTCTCTCTCTCTCTCTCTCTCTCTCACACACACACACACACACACACACACACTCATGAACTTCAAGAAAAAATGGCACCCAGAAGTCAGAGGCCACCCATTTGTTGTGCTTCATACACATATGCCATAAAAGTCAGTCCAGGGAAAGATGAAAAGTGGTAAATATAGTCCACAAGATAGGAAATTATGGAAAGAAATTGGTGGAACATCTGGAAAGAATGGGAGATGAGTGAATGCCAGACGTAGTTCTAGAGCACCAAGCAAATGGAGAAAGAGCAGAGTCTGTCCTCAGAAAGGATGGGAAGGCCAAGCCCAGTTGGAAAGTATGGGAATGGCCCTACATGCCCAACCGATAAATTTTTTCCTTGATGATGTGATGATGATGTGTGCTTCCTTCCTGGCCCTCTCATTTCCATTTCTATCCTGACCAAAAAAAAAAAGAGTAATTATTCACATGTTTGCCACACGCTCTCTAAAGAATTCAGTTTTTGCCCATGCTGAAGCTACATTCTGGTTATAATTTAGACACCTTCCAAAGCTGTGGTGACTCTTTCAAGTTACAATTTATGAATAGTCAGAGTTTGGGAGGAGGGGCTCTGATCCCACATCCTCTGAAGCCGTGCAATAGGGCTGGCTTTGGGTTCCATGTGTGAGGCTGCCTGCTTGGGGGAAGGACCTTGTGGGCACTGGTTCGGGAGGCAGAGGACTTGAGTTCAAATATTACCTCAGGCTCTCACTTAATAGCCAAGTCACTTATCCTCCTCAGGCTCGATTTCCTCATTTTAAAAATGAAGCGTTGGACCACATAGCGTCTGAGGTCCCTTCCAGCTCTTGACCCCTGGTCCTGTAAGTTGGCCTTGTTGGTGATTCGCCCCCATATGCAAGCTGTTGCCAAGGCCTGCTGATTTCATCTTTGCAGCATCTCCCGAGTATGCCTCCTTCTCTCCTCTGGCACTGCCACCACCCTGGTACAGGCCCCCAACACCTCATATCTGGACTACTGCAGTAGCTACTGGTGGGTCTGCCTGCCTCAGGTCTCTCCCAACTCCAATCCATCATCCACTCAAGCGATTTTCCTAAAACTCAGGTCTGATCATGTTACCTCCATAGGAGCTCAGTAAACTCCAATGGCTTTGTAATGCCTTTAGGAGCAAATACAAAATGCTGTTTGGTGTTCAAAGCCTTTCCTAACCTAGCCCCTTCCTATCTTTTCAGTCTTCTTATACCTTACTCTTCAATGTATACTCTTTAATCTAGTGACACATCTGGCTATTCCACAAACAAGACCTTCCATCTCTCAACTCCCAGCATTCTCTCTGGCTGTCTTCCATGCCCAGAATGCTCTGCTTCCTATTCGCGGGCTTCCTGTATGTCCCAACTCCCTTTACATCCCAACTCAAATCCTAAAAGCCTTCCCCAGCCCCTCTTCATTCTAGTACTTCTCCTCTGTTAATTATTTTCTGTTTATCCTGTATATAGCTTGTTTCGTATATATTTGCTTGCACGCTGTCTTCCCCCATTAGATTGTAAGCTCCTTGAGGGCAGGGACTGTCTTTTGCCTCTTTTAGTATTGCCAGCACTTAGCACGGTGACTGAATAAATGTTCATGGTGTTGTGTTGTAATTCATTAGTTAAATCACCTCTTAAAGGAGCAAAGCCAGACCCTACATAGTGAATTTTACTTGAGTATGTAAAATGTGTTACACTATGGCGTGAGCCTTATGACCTGAAATGTCACATCCCAAAGTGCCTAAATCATAAGGCCATAGAATCACCACAGTTAAACTTCTTGTGAGCATTATGACTTCCTCCTATCATGGACACTGAAACACTTAATTGTGCCCCTGTTGCCATTGGATGTACATTCATGGTGATTGTCAAATTATTCTGTTCCTACTTTATAATAAGACATTTCCTGCTAGGTTTGACATGTGAGCCTTCCCTGAGAGTGAGCAAATCAATGCACTTCAATTCCAGGATATCTATTCTGATTGAATTATATAATAATTAGTAAATATTTACATAATGACATAAGATTTCCAAAGCACTCAGCAGATCTTATCCCATTTGGGAATTTGGAGGCACTGTGGGTATAGGGAAAAGCATGCTGGCTTGGGAGTCAAAGGACCTGAATTCAAATCCTGACTCTGCCACTTACTACCTGTGTCACATTGGACAATTTCAACCTCCGTGGAATCTAATTTCCTTTTCTATAAAATCCACAGGTTGAATTAGCTGCCCTGTAAGGGCTTTTCCCAACTCTAAGTCTTTGATCCTGAAACCTTTACAACAATACTGTGAGGGAGGTGATAGTATTAACTCCATTTTGCACCTAAGTTATTTGACTTATCCAGGGTCACACAACTAATAAGTAAGCCTCTGAAGCTGGACCAGAGCACAGGCAATTCCAGCATTTTACCAAAGGACCATAGCTTTATTTAGAGGACTTGCTATAACCCTGCAAGGAAAAAAACCCACAAAACTACCTTTTATTCCCTATAAATATGATTTGTGAAGCTAAAGATAATGACTTGTCTGACTGACGTGCTCAATTACCCATAGCAGCCCACTGATATTTAGACAAATAAATCCATTCCGAAGTGCCAAGAGACTATTAATAGGGAATGAAAAGAAAACTACAAAGTCAAACATATAGATTGTGTTGCTGGTAGTCCTGGTAAAAAGCAATGGGGACATTCTAACATGAGCAGAAAGAAGACATCCTTTGGGGTCCATATTCTAACAGTTCCCTGTTTTGATCTTTGCAGGCAATGCTGACCCCGAAGGCCAGGGTTACTGTCAAGCAGGCTTTAGTCTGGATTTTTATAAGGTGAGATTTGCTTCACTTGTGGCTTTCAGGCAACACTTAATTCATCTGTTTGTTTTGGAAACTCTCCTCAAATCGGTTACTTTTCCTGCTAGCTTGTTCAGATGCCATTTATGTTTTTAATAGAAAAAAAATCATTGTGTGTTTATACTAACTCATAAATCTTTATTTTGAAAAGATAACCATCTTTGTCTCTGAAACTTTTTCTGTGCTGCCTCTAATAAATATTAAATATATTATGTATGAGTATCCAAATTCATAACCTTTTTGATAAGTGTTAGATCAAAGTAAAATGCAGTTGGAATGGGGGCGGGGAGGAACATCTATGTGAGCCTCACAGATAATATCAAGAATACTAGCAGCCTACAGACTGTTTTCCTATAGATCTTTTCCCATTGAATTTGGGGGTGATCATGATTACAGTCAGGATGGGCTGAGGGCATGAGGATGGTTGTCACTCTGGAGAGCCAGAACTTCATGGTACAGTAATTGCAGACATCAAGAAAAGAAGAAAAAAAAGAAAAAGAAAAGAAAAAAAGTGGGAGCCTGTTGTATAGCCACATTCATTCTCGTCACACAAGCCTGAGATTAATTTGAGCCTCATTCTTGAGATTCAAATGATCATGTGCATTATTATATGGAGTTAAAGTAGTTTGTTTTTGTGACACAGTCCCAGGGAGATGAATTCACTCATTCCTAAGAAAGAATCCCATTTGCCTCATTAATTCAGATTGCTTTAAAATATATAACTTAGCTGTGTTCTTAATGATAGCTTAATTTTAAATCTGTGAAACGGATCTTTCTTCTGAATAAATCAGAGCCAAAGAAAAGAAAGAAAATTAGCCTAGATATCTGCAGTGAGGCCAAGAGAAACCTGGGTTTGAATCCTGCCTTTGAAATTTATGAGCCATGTGACCATAGGCAAGTCATTTACCTTTCCAAACCTCAGTTTTCTCATATATAAAATGGAGACAATACAATCTGTACAACCTACATCGTAGGGTTGCTATGGGACTCAAGGGAAGTAATGTCTAGAAAATGCTTTGAAAACTTTAAAGCACAAAACACATATCAGCTATTACTCTTAACTCCATGTTAATATGATTGGCAAAGAAGTTCCTTTTGATGATAAATTTTCACACACACACACACAAAGTTAAGTGTTTATTAAGTACCTACTATGTTGCAGACACTGTACTGAGACTTTTAAATTTCTTAATAGTTTACTATACATTAATAATTTTAAAAATTAATGTCAATACTGTTTGTTTCTTTTTTATAGAATGGAGATCTTATAGTGGGAGGACCTGGCAGTTTTTACTGGCAAGGTAGGTTTTGTTGGCATAGAAGAAATCCACATTTGGTGGATACCAATAAAATACAATTATGAGGCACAAATGATACCAGAAGTTGTACTTTAATTACATTTAATTTTATATCTGCATTCATCGAGTCTGTACTTGACTATGCAAATGATGTTTTGAAATCATGTTATAATTAAATTAACCACCCCTTATGACCATCCCCATAGGAATACTAAGACCAAATAAATCGACATCTTGTGTTTTCTTATTAATTTCTTTTTTTAAACAAAACAATCAAAATATTTGAGGCAGCAAAAGGATTGGAAAACTAAAGAAATAAAATTATGTTCTAAGATCTTTTCCCAATCATTATTTTCCCTCAATCAACACCACATTTTCCTTTATTTTCACTAAGCAGAGCCAAAGCTAATAGAGGTGCTTTAAGGAAATATTGCCTTAGTGAGTGCAATCAAGGTAGCGTGGCATCTCATCTGGGGGAGTAGGCTTCTAAAGACATGGGTTTATGTCCTGTATCAACTAACTAAGTAACTGAAGGGAGAGTTCTTAACCTCTCAAGGCTCCTAAAAATTCTTTCAGACTACAATGTGCAGACAATGGCCAATCTGTATCTGAGAAGAGAGTTTCTGTACCATGACTTTTCTCCACACCAATGAAAGCATTTGTTTTTTCTTGAGAAAATTTACAGCTTTGAGTTGGTTTCATGGCTGCATCCAAGTTTAATGTGAGAATTATTAGGAATATCTAAAAGCAAGTTTCCCCCCCACAACCCCCCACCAAGGCCTGAAAAACTTGGCAAATGCTATAGCATTGTTCTCCCTGGACAAGGCATGAGTAATCACCATTGTCTGACTCAGAATAGTCCTTTAAATCATAGCCATCGAATCAGGTTTATGGCCCTGTTTCCTTGTTTTACTTGCTCCGGTCCCAACTAGTGTGGGAACCATGTGTTAATTCACTGAGGGAGAAATTTGGCTTTGAAATTCATGATTACATGTTGGCCTTTACAGAGCGTATCCCCAAATTGACAGATTTAATATCTTCCCTCTGAAAGACAGGAAATTACCAGATCACATTCTTACTTTAGATGCTCATCCTAAACTCAGTGTGGCCAAACAGCAGACTCTCCACTCAGTCAGAAGAGCATGGTTAAGTTCAATGGGTACTGCCATGGAATAGAAGCTTCTCAAGAGCAGGGGCTCTCTCTCTACCTCTCTCTCTCTCTCTCTCTCTCTTTGTCTCTGTCTCTCTGTCTTTCTTCCATTCTTTCTTCTTTTCATTCTTCCTTCCTGTATTCTTCCTTTCCTTCCTCTCTTCCTTTCTCCCTTTTCCCCTTCCTCCCTTCTTTCCATTCTTCCTTCCTTCCTCCCTTCCTTCCTGTTTTTCTTCCTCCCTTTTATCTTCTTCCCTCCTTCTCTCCTTCCGTTCCTTCATTACTTCCTTCTTTTCTTTCCTGCCTGCTTGCTTTCTTTTTCTCTTCTTTCTTTCCTCCCTTTCTTTCTTCCTTCCTTCTTTCTTTCTCTTCCTTTTTCCTTTCTTTCTTTTTTCTTCCTTCTTTCTTTCTCTATGTATCCCCAATGATCAGCACAAATGCTTGTTGATAAACTGATTGATGCTGACTTTACTAGCTTTGTAATCTTAAGCAAGTCAAATCACTGAGCATCAGTTTCCTCCTCAGTTAATAACTACTATTTACTATTTCTGTAAAGCTTTAGGTTTGCAAAGCACTTTACAAATATGATCTAATTTCATCCTCATAATAACCCTGAGAGGTAGATGCTATTTCTGTCTGCATTTTGAAGTTGAAGAAACCGAGATAGAACAGGTTGAATGACTTTTCCAGGGTCACAAAGCTAGTTAGCGTCTGAGACTGGATTTGAATCCAAGTTGTTCTTGACTGTGGGTCCAGCACTCTTTAAAAAAGTAGGAGGGAGAAGTGTTCATAATAGTTGTGCAATCTGTCACAAAGGACTATAATCCAGTTAAAAGGAAAGTAGAAGACTCTATAAAGGCAAATTAATATTAATACAGTAGTTGTATTGAAATGGGTATAAAAAAAGCCATGGTGGGGAACTGTTAGATGTCTGAGATGTGTTTCCAAATATGATGGTACATGTTATACCTGGTAGCCCAAGGTGGTTCAAGTTGACTTAGCAGATTCAGAATTAGAATAATCCAAAACATACTGATTTACTATATAGTTATTTATTCTAATCAGAATTCTGATGTATGTATTCTGTTGTAGTTTTTCTTGTGACTCCAGAGATCATCAATAGTTCCCTCCATGTATGCAGAGGACCAAGTGTTTCAGTAGACTGCATGGCTTTTTTTTTGGATGGGGTTATAGGAAACATGGTTCCTCCTTGCTTTCTTTTAACATGTGAAGTTTTTTGACCCCAGGCCAGGTGATTACAGCCAGCATTGCCGACATCATTGCCAATTACTCATTCAAGGATATTCTAAGGAAACTAACTCGAGAAAAACAAACTGAAGTTGCTCCAGCGTCCTATGATGACAGCTACCTTGGTAAGATTCATTGACTCTTGGAGGTTTTTGCAATTGCTCTTGGCTAGAGATGCAAGTCTCACCAATGACTGATGTGAAATCCTTTGACTTTATGGTCATGTCAGGGAGAGGCTACCTTCTTTTCCTATTAGATCTATCGACTTGCCTTTTCCGAAAAGCATTCCTAAATCACTTGGGTTAGCCACACTAGGTAACATGCACACATTCTGATATAATGGAAGGTCAGTAGCAGTGGTAAATGGAAAAGACACTAAGAGGCCCTGAGATTAAATCCCAACTCTGATGCTTCCTTGTGCTATGACCCTGAGGAATTCCCTTAATCTCTCTGAGCCTCAGTTTTCTCATCTGCAGGATGAGAGGACTGGACTAGAGGACCTCTCAGGTTCCTTTTGTCATCATTAATTTCAAAGATTTGACATTATTGATTGTATGCAACATCCCATTTTTTTCCTCTCTATCTTAGTCCACATTCTCCCTCATGTATGGAATGCTATCCCTGCTCACCTCTTGGAATCTCTAGCTTCCTTCAAGGCTCAGCTCAACTGCCAAGTATAGGAAGTCTTTCCTGATCTTCCTTTCTCCCCTCCATTGTTAGTGCTCTTCCCCAACCCTGAAATTACTTTGGATCTATTTGGTATTTATTTATATGTATATATGTTGTTTCCCCATTCCCATAGAGTGGACCTTGGGGCATAAATGGTTTTATTTTTGTACTTATATTCTGGTACCTAGCAGAGGGCTTAGCAAACATAGTAGGTGCTTAATAAATGCTTGTTAAGCTGAATTGAAGTGAATTAATTGAAGGGCTGTTGCCCAAGTATTTCTAAATATAAGACAGAATTAGAGTTCTGGAGATTCCTATAGCTTGCTACATGAAGCCATGTTGAGAGCAATAAAAATGTGGCCAAATATTTTGCATGTGCGTTGTCCTGTGATTGAGTAGCTAGGAGCTGTGATGTTGCTGTGTTCTTCATAGTGATCCGTAGCCTAGCTTTATTGCTTTTTATAGAGGGAGCACACACATGTTAACTTGACTAATGCTTTTCTTTCTCCAGTCTCAGACTTCCTCTTTTGTAAAGTTTCTAGAGCTCTCCAAATAGAGGAGGAGCCTGGAAGTGCTTAACTCTGCACATTTCTCTCTAAATAGTTTATTTGTCAGTCTTCCCAGCTAAGACTTGTTCATTCATTTATTTTGTATTTGTTTGTTTATTTACAGGATATTCAGTTGCTGCTGGGGAATTTACTGGAGATTCTCAGCAAGGTAGGAGATATTGCATGGGTTGCTATAAGGATGACAGAGAACTCTTTCTTCCCCCCAGTATTGATAGGAAGTGTTAGTTTCATTATGCACATTTTACAAATGAAAAAAACTGAAGCCCAAAGAGGCTGAGGGAGTTAGGATCATCAGAACATGGACCAAGAGGTAGAAGGAACTTTGGAGGTCAGTTAGTCCAACCTTCTCATTTTACATATAAGGAAACTGAGTCCTGGAGAGGAAAAGTACTGAAAGTTGCCCAGGTTGACTTCACAAGGCTGGTAAATGCTAGCGCTTTGAGTCAAATTTAGGTCTCCTGACCCCCAAACCAAAACTCTTTCCCCTAGATTGATGAAAGAGCTGGGAAGAGAGGGCATCTTTCTTGGGTTCTGGATAGAGGATTTGCCAAATGCTTAATGATTTGGACAGCATTATGTATTTAGTAACAGATCTAGGATGAGAGACCAAGTGTTCTCCATACAGTCCAGGCCACTAATAGTTATGTCTCTGGTGTACTAGTAACTGCTGTCCATCTACCTGCTCTAATTCATATTCTTTGAAGGATAAAATTTAGAACATGTTAAATACAGTCATCTGTAGGAATACAGATAGTCCTTTTATCAGTCATATGTTGATACTGCACATAATGCAGAAACATAGAAAGTATACTGCAATTAGCTAGACTTCACTTGGGGGGGATTGTTTATTTTCTCAAAAATATCTGCTTAATTCAAGCCAGTTCTTATATCAGAATTTTTTGGTGGTTTGTTTTGTGGCCAAGAAGAGATGAAGCTAGTAATGGCGGAGATTGTAAAGAGGACCAAAGCTCTAGTACTATGGGGGTGGGGGGTGGGGAATCTCAGTCCTGTAGTCACTCAGGGATTTTGCAAAGGAAAGGATAAAAAGCACCAGACAATCTGAGCACAACAGTTTTAGGATGTTGGCTTCAGCAGTTGTGGGAAAGAAATCAAGAACAGCCTTACTCTTGGGCTGTTGTTCAATTCTGACCCAGGAGAAGGCATTGGTGATCCCCAGCCATAGATCTTAGAGGAAGGGATTAGGAAAGAGCAGCTACCTTTCAATCTCACAAATGCTGTTAAAATAAAGACTACTCAGACAACAGATCCAAGTTTTTAGTGATTTCCAGAAACTTTGGTAGACTGCCTTTGAAATTCCAGTATCTGAGAACATCCTCATCAGTTCAAAAGAAAATATAAACCTTCCAGGCAGGCCAAGACTCGATAGGCCACCCGCCTTCAGTATTTACTCAATGAGATTGTCCCACACAAGGGGTGAGGAGAGAAGCCTGTCAAACAGAATGAGTAATTCCACATCCTCAGTAATCCAATCAGATGCATCAGAGCTAAGCTCAAGCAAATAATTTGGCCCCTGTGGGTCCCCCCTCTCTTTCACTGAAGCCAGACCCTTTCACTGTCTGAGTAGGAAATGGCATTTGAGGGAAGGTTCCACCAAATCATTGGAGTCAAATACAGGTCTCCTGACCCCAAGATCAAATATCTTTCCCCTACCTGATGAAAGGGCTGGGAAGTGAGGGCATCTTCTTAGGCAATAGTCACTGGAGGTTAAGGATATGAACCCCTCAAGCAGTTAATGAGATAGCCGAACCTCCTTTGAAGTAGGAAAGCAGCAGGAGGTGGCCTGTCTCCTCTAGAGCCCATGCAGGGCGGGCAGTGGCATCTGGCGTCAGGTTCAAAAGAGGTAGCCCAAAGAATACACCTGAAACAACTGGTCAGATAGAAGTTTATTTAGAGACACACAGCTCTGGGAAGCACTCTAAAGGAAAGGGCCCCAAACAGAGGAGAGAGCAGACTTTTTATACTCTAAGAAAAGCAATTGATTATTTTGAAAGCTGCCTCTCTGTTCTAGGAGGTGCTTGTTAAAGTTAGTGTTGCTAGGATGGGCAAAACAGCTTATTTCTCCTATTTGGGACAACACGTCTTTCCATATTTAGCCTTCCAGAGCACAAGGAGATGGGCAGTAAAGGGAACCAGAGAGACTTGATTGGCACCATGGCACCAAGTACTAAAATGGAGTCACTCGTGTGGAGGGAGGGAACGTCCAGGAGCTCTCTGTTTTTACCCTGGGGCTGCAGGCTGTGGCTGTAGAGCTCTCCCTTTTATTTTTTATCAACTTGAAAGCTGCACAGATGGGACTAGGGGTAAGTTATAAAAGCATGCATATAAACCAGGCTTCAGGTTACACTTCATACTTCAAGGTGGTGTTTAGTTTGTATGCAAATTCTGCTCTGCCTTGACCAGCACATACCTGGTAATATGAAATAAGCATGTCCACTTTCTAACCACCCATTTTTCCTTTCAGAAATCCTGGCTGGTGTTCCAAGAGGTGCACAGAATTTTGGATATGTAAGTACCATGACTGCATCTCTAGGTTCACCAAAGACATATCTTTATCTATCTCTATCTCATTCTCTAGCTCTGTCTCTATCTCTCTGTGTATATACACATATGCCACATATTTTATACACATACACCTACACACATATGCCTACATTTATCTACACATATATGCATAAAATCTTTTTTGTCTGGACCTATGATTGCATTGGTGTAGGAAGTTTCTCATGAAGAAATTTCCTCTACCAGTGTAGATGAATGAAAATGATAGCAACCACAGCAGCAATAAGAATATTTATTAGCACTTTAAGGTTTACAAAAGGCTTTACATAGGTTATCTCATTTGATCCTCACAACAACCCTGGGAAGTAGGTACTGTTATTATTTCCATTTTATAGATGCTGTATTTGGAGTAAACAGAGGTTAAGTGATTTGCCCAGGGTCATACAGTGACAAGTGTCTAAGGCTGCATTTGAACTCAAATTATCCTGATCCCAAGTCCAATATTCTATCCAATGGGCCACCTCACTGCTTGGGGCAGGGGCCATTTCTAATTTTCACTTTACGTTTTTTTTTCATTTTTTATTTTTAGGCAGTTGAGGTTAAGTGACTTGCCTAGGGTCACACAGCTAGTGAGTGTCAAGTGTTTGGTCTGAGGCCGGATTTGAACTCAGGTCCTCCTGACTTCAGGGCCGGTGCTCTATCCACTGCGCCACCTAGCTGCCCCTACTTTACATTTTGCGTGTTAACTAGTATAGTGCTATGTACACAGTAGATGGTTAATAAATGTGTATTGAATAAGTGAAGAAGGAATTGGAAATCAGAGGAACCGTTCACTGGGTTCCTTCCATCCAAATACATTGAAGATACCAGGACACAAATGAGTTTCTTACCTTTTAGGAGCTAACCCCGCTCTAGAAGGGAGTACAAGGCAATTTGAGGAAGGGGGGGACTCTTTTTTTCCATTGCAGGGAAGTGGGCAAAACTTTTGTCTGGAAAGAACCCTCCTGTTGGGATAAAAAGCCTTCGTTGACTTTTAGAATTTGTGATCTCTGCCTCCACTTTGCCCATTTGAGTCCTCAGTTTATGTCCTCACGTCACATATAGAAATGAGGGAATGGTGGAAGAAAAAGATAACCTTGAAAGTTGGCTGTTGTTCTATTGCTTCTCGGTGATGCAGCATCTAATTTCCATGATTTTAGGTTTCAATTATTAATTCGACGGATATGACCTTTATTCAGAATTTCACTGGCGAACAGGTAATTTCCATTTTCAATATTTTAACACTTATTGTGTATGAATAGTATATGTCAATCTTATTATTTGATCTTTACTATCAACTTTTCATTAGAAGAGAAAACCAATACTAAATAAGTACTGGTACCAAAAATGTCAATGAGTTTCATATAGTCTTCTACGCTTTGGGTTTATATTTTAGTAGATGTAACAATAGCCTACAAAAAATAATTATGCCTTGATTATCCCTCTAATAAGAAGGATCTAAGGCTCGAAAATCTAAAATGATGACTAGTCCAAAGAAATATTTCCTTTCTGGCTTTGAAATCCTCTTTTTTTTTTTAATGCTAGCATTTGAAGACAGATGCATCTGATGTCAACTTCTCTTTGTTCTCCATTTCATGCTGGATATTGACCACTTGACCTTTAACACAAAGGTCAGCAGCCTAAATTGAATTTCCTGATTGCTGTCTTTTCCTCCCTCATCTCTTCCCTCCATTGAGGAAGAGAATTAAGTATTTTAGTTACAAATGGCCCTTGTGCTACAGACTACATCAGAAAGTAAGGACAAACCAAGGAAGACTAGTGATAATAAAGAATTTAATAAAATGAGAAGATGATGAGAGGAAATAATCATTCAAAAATTATTTTCGTGGTTAACTTGCATTGGAGGTGTATTTTTATTGCAATGAATAAGAAGTGATTATATCAAAATAGTTTGGGGTTACAAAGCGTTCTGGTTTTCATTTGCAGATGGCATCTTATTTTGGATATGCTATTTCAGTATCAGATGTCAACAATGATGGGTAAGTGACTACATGCAATATTATTTTTCTTTCCTATCTTATAACACTTGTGCAAAAATACTCAATTTTTCCTATTCAAAAGTTACTTATGACTCCTCAACAAGAAAGAAGAGGCCATCTTCATAACTTCATGGAATCTGAGCTGGAAGTGAGTCACTCAGTCAACGAGCATTTATTAAGCACCTACTATGTGCCAGGCACTGTGCTAATCACTGGAATGAATTTCAGAGATAATTTTTTTCCAAGTCTCTTATTTTACAGATGTAATAATCAGAGGCATGACAAGCATTGGTCAAATTGGGCTTAGCCCCAGGAAACAACAACCAAGGGGACACACTTCCTACTAGGCTGCTACCATCTGCAGACCTTACCTCATGGTCCTCTGCCAACCATGCCATAGCTTAGCTGCCATTTCCCAGGATCCCATCTCTGAGATACTACTTACTTTCTCCCTGAATTCCCAGAAAAATGAAAACTAGACCATCCATCTCAACATGATTGTATGTGTCATTAGGCTGTCCTCAGCATTGTTAACTCAAGGGTTTATACCCCAGTTGAAAAATAAATACATTCTTGCTCTAGAGGTATCCAAGGCCTCAAGATATGACTTGCTTAAGGTTTTATAATTTGTAAAGCTCTAAGAGTCAGAATTTGAACACAAAACATTTGTTGTCAAATCCACGGTTTATCCTACTTTAGGGCAAAGTGGTATGTCTGTCAGATAGCTGTGCCCTATCCTCTTTAATTCTTTACCTCCAAGTTTCTGAACTGTCATCCCAAAGGAGGTTATTTTGTTTTGATTTCAACTTCACCTTTACAAAAATGATTATTCCTTCATTAAACCACCCACCAAAACTGATCTCGTACATTAAGTTTTGAAGGACTTATTCATCTGGCTCCCCACACTGGCTCTCTCCAGTAATCCCTCTTTGCACGCCTTTACACATCCATCAACAATCCACAAATTAGTAAATTATGCTTCTAATGGTCTGTTAATTTGGTAATGGGTACTCTCTTGTTAGGGGTCAGTAGTTAAAGCAAATAATGTGAGCTTGGCCAATAGCTAAATTGTGGTTTTTGATTACTCTTTCTAAAGAGAGTAGTTGATTTTTTAAAATTCACCTTTGTAATATTAAGAGTCCCTAGCAGGAGCGGTTAAATTGACAGACCATTGGAATGACCATTAGCTGGGCCATCTTTGTACAGCTGGGATTGATTGTGTTTTACATGTTTCTGTTTTGTATGTTTCTTTATTTGTGCCTATCCAGTCAGTGGTCCTCTAATAAAATATAAGGTTCTCCAGACTTCTTTATGTCTCCTTGCGGGTCTCCATGGCCCCTCTTACAGGGCTCTGCATACAGTGAATGCTCATTACAAGCTCATGGTGTAATAGTGGCAGTGGTGAAGAACCATTTTAAAGTTAACTCTGGATAGGTGGGAGACATAATCACTTAAGCATTCAAAGAACTGCCACATGGAAAGGGGATGAGACTTGTCAATTAGTCAACAAGCATTTAATAAATGCTTGACATGTGCTAGGCATTGTACTAAGCTTAGAGAATCAAAGAAATGCAAAACCAGTTCCTGCCCTCTGGGAGCTTACTTTCTAATGCTTGACCTGGAGCAATGGGTTAATGACATTGCAAAGAAGCCAGTTTTAGTCTAGAGATAGGACAGATGAACTCAGGCAAAAAGAGCTATGCAAAAATGTAATGGCCTCAAGAGGTCAGTGAGTTAGTAACCATTTCTTAAGTGCCAGGCATTGTGAGGAGCCTTGGGGATACAAAGAAAGGCCAAAGACAGTCTTTGCCGTCATGGAGTTCACAGTCTTACAGGAGTGACAACATGCAAACAACCAAAGGTATACAGGGTAAATTGGAGATAATAAGCAAAGGGGAGGCATAAACTTTAGGGGTGTGGAGGGGATCAGAAAAGGCCTCCTATAGAAGGTGTGATTTTGGCTGGAACTTGAAGGAAGTCAGGAGGTAGATACGAGGAGGGAGGGATTCCAGGAGTGGGAGGATAGCCAGTGAAAATTCTCCAATATGTGTTACATATCACCCCTCCCCCAGGATTCTCCAGTACTCTTAAGGGGGTTGGGGGGTGTCTAGCATTGGCCACTGGTTCAATTTTTCCCCCCATCAATTGTGTGCCCCCAACTTTAGGGGGTCTAAGTATTTCAGTTCCATTTAACCACTCAACAGGAAGATTAGCTTTTACAAAGTTACATTTTCTTTAAAGAGTAACAAGAATAAACATTCCAAAAACATTACCACCTCAGTCTCTGGGGAGGAGAGGGGAATCAGTTCAGAACTTAACTCAGTTCCAATAGAACATCAGTCCTACCAAGTCCCAAGTCAAAAGCCCCTCTGGTCTTCCATCTGCAAACTGGCTTCTCAAGGCTTAGCTGCTGGGCTGGTAGCAACACTGGGCCTGAGATCTAGGCTCCAAGGTCAACATAGCTGGAGCTCCCAAGTCTGGGGACTTCTTCTCTCCTCCCCTCTTACTACCCACCCCCCTAGAATTGAAAAGAACAAATAAAACAGACCAAAACTCCAATTTCCCAATGCTATAGGGCATAAAGAAAGAGAGAGAAGGGTAGCTCTTCTCCCTACGCAGCTTAGTGTGTGGTGCCTATGATTTAAGTGAATAGGACTTTTACCCCTTGATGCCACAGGCAAAGCGGGGTGGGGGGGGAAGGAAGAAGGGAGAGAGAAGAAAAAGAGGTGAGAGGGAATGTAACTGTACTTCAGTCAGGTAGATTTAAAGATGCAGCTGATGGAAAGAGACTGCTCCCACTCATGTGATAGGGAAGTAGGTTGCTAGTGTCTATCACATGGAAGACCTCCATCTTAGGTGATTTGGGCATGAGGACCACAACAGTCATCTGGTTCAGTGGTGTTTCAAATAGAAACATGTTGACTTAGAAATCCCCAAATCAGTATTATCTAGGTTGTATTGTATTTTTGTTTATTTTGTTAAACATTTCCCAATTGCATCAGTTTATCATCTGCTTGCTTTAGAGAGCTCTGAGTTTGACACCTCCGATTCTAGTCCAACCCCCTCATTTTACTTGTGAGGAAACTGAGACACAGAGTCATTAAGTGCCTCACCTAGGGACACACAGATAGTGTCTAAGCTGGGATTCAAACCTGAGTCTTCTGAGTCTACAATCCAGCAATCTTTCCACAATATCAAGTTTCCTATCACTGGAGGTAAGCCCAGGTGACCACTTGTCATGTATGTCATAAAAAGGATTTCTGGTCAGGTAGCAGATGAACTAGATGGCCTCTGAAGTATCTTCCAGCTCTGGGATTCTGGGAATTTGTGATTCCATAAGATCAGAAATTTAAAATTTAAGACTGACCAAGAAATGATCCTTTTAAAATTCAGTCATTTATATATCAATGTTCTTATACTGTAAGCACGAATTGACATATCTACTTACACAAAAAAATTCCAACGTGGGCAGAGCACATTGGCTAAAGAATGGATTTCCCCAGTATTGGGTAGGGGGAAGCATCTGGAGAATAAATTAAGAACAAAAACGGCAGAATTTCCCAGTTTCTTTAATGAAAATGCATTTGCATGGTGGCCTACCATGCAGCAAATGGTGCTGCAAAAGCACAGAGATGCTTCCTGCTGGGGTTTGCACATAGTGTTTTATAGGGTACAAATTGGCTCGATGTGTTTCTTGCCATGGGTCAGCCACTTTTTTTATTCCTTTCAACTTCCCTTCCTATTTCATAATATACCCTGTAGGACATCCCATCCACAGACTCATTCTAGTCTGCAGCAAAAATTTTGTGGCACCATGTATTGTATAGTTTTCAGTGTTTAAAGAAGCAGAAAAAACAAAACCTTGTGAGAAAAACCATGTTGGTACCCCCTGATCAAACAACATGGTTGGAAGTAACTAACACAAGCCTTTCTGCAGTGATGATCAGGCCATTCTTTCTTGTCCTTAAAACCTGCTCCTCTGGCTCATCCGCTCTATACTCAATTTCCCTGAAATGTGTTGGTTATTAGGCTGTTTGTTCTGAATGCTTCCAAGTGCCTGGAATTATGTCTCTGATAATTTAATATTGTCCCTTTAAAGATAATCTGGAGAACCTGGAGATGGGTATACTCTGGTACTTTAAAGTACTAAGGTGCCAGGTAAATTCAGTGTCAATATGCACACAGTTAAAATGTTCTCTGGAGGTGGATTAAGAATTACTCATGAAGAAAATACTCAAGTTCATCTCCAGCTGAGATAGAAAGCCACTGGCCTTATTTACAACAATTATATGATCAGTCTCTGCACCTGTGTTTTTAGGAGATGTATGCTTGGCTTTACAATTGACTAAAACAGGAAAAGTGTGACCTCTTTTTGTGTCCCAGTGTTCGAATTTTAAAGTTGAGTGTTAAAACAGCCCATGAAAACATAAGGACTGGCCCAAGGCTGTCGTGAATCTTTCTGGAAGGGCTCCCAGTAACTTCAGTACTGGAACAAACACCTTCCATACATTCTAGAACCTTCAGGGTGCAGTTTCAAGTACATGATACATGAAAAACATCAGCATGAGTGGGAGCTGATCTTGCCTCATATTTTGACTTCTGCTAAACTATTGGGGCTGGCAGAAATTTGCTATGATTTCAAGTGGCAAATGATGTGTAAGCTTCTTTTTAAGAGAAGGTGCTTTCATTATTCTGGTCTCCTAGTGAGATTCCAGGTAGAGATTTTTAGGTTGTGTGGTCCATAGCCAAGTGTCTCAATGAAACTTTTTTTGGACGAGTTATACTAAATGCCCTCAAATTGCTTCAGCATTTTCCATTTACTCTTCAGCTTAAACATGGCACCATTTGTTGCTGTTACATACTATGTGTAGAGAGGTAGAAACTGTCATGGGGTGAGCATAGGACTGGGAGGGAAGAGATCTGGGTACTGGTCCCAGGTGTGGCCCTAACATGCTATGTGACTTTGGTCCAGCTCCAGTTTCCTCATATAAAACAAGAAC